ATGTCTGTATATGTTGGCCAGACAGACATATGTGGGAATATATATCTCAATAATTTATTGCATTTCAGCCCAGATCCGCTTCAATCAAATCTTTTATGTCAGAGATTAACGATTAAAGTCATTAGCAGTTAAGATCGAGATCAGTCAAACAGTTGATGTGTCCTACCATTGCCGGTCGGTGGGACCCAGAACTGAATGCATATACTATATATCCATATGTGAGCCGATGGTATTTGTATAGCAGACAAAAGGCAATACAGTTCATTCTTTTATCGCTTTTGGCATTTTTAATGCGATGTCTGAGGTTGCGGGCCTGAGGTAAATCTCGATGCTGGATGCCGAATGCCGAATGTCGGAGGCAGAGGCAGAGGCATCGTCATCGCCTTCAGTTGGGTTTATTGTTTCCCCACTCGGGGCAGGACGAATACGAATATTAAAAGGGCAGAGTTATAAAACATTAGCGCATATTAATCATTTTTTCTTGTACAGAATACAGAATTCCATTTATTCGTTCCCATTTCCCGCCGCAGATCCGTTGATGAGTTGCAGTCACTCCGGAGCGAAATTCAATTAAAGTTTTTGATGTAACCATTCCGGGAATAAGTTGGGGGTGGGGTTTGGGTGGCTTTCTGTTCGGTGGTTCGTGTTAGGCAGCGAGAACTGTCAAAATATTGACAGCGGCATCCGTTATGCTTTTTGCCCAAATTGATATTCTATTTTTGAACGCTCCCGCTCCCAGGCTCCGGCTCCTCTGACTTCATTAAAAATCGTGCCCCCAAATAGGAACGAAAAAAATACAAATCTAAATAAATATGATGGGTATGTGGCCGAGTTAATGATGCCAGTGAGACTCCGCATAATGGAGACACTCTCTTCCCCCTTGACAAGCTCCTGACAGTTAGCTGCAGTTTATGAATGAATGTTTGGCGTCTCGTTTTTCGCCGATTACTTCTAACTGTCTATTTGTGGATTTCCATTTCCACTTTGGCTGTGGCCAAATTATTAATGGAACCGGACCTGAGCCCCAGTCGCCAGCCGTAAGCCAAAAATGCTCGACAAGAGTGTGTGAAGCTGCGATCCGAATCCCATCCGATCCCATCGAATCCATAATATAACTAAGTATCATCAATTATCGCCGCCGCTCGTCGGTTCATTCATATTCGGCCCGCGACGATCGTGGATGTTGATCTGGTCAATCAATTTGGCTTTAACTCCGACTCGTTCTCTATCTCTTTTTCTAGCCCTGGCTCTGGGGTCTTGAGTCTTCAGTTTTTAGTCTATGCCCAAGGGCTAGGGGAATCGACCGAGCGACCGACCGAACGACAGGTAACGATATTGTTGGTTCAACAGCTGAAAATCGCTTTCTCACACATCGATCGGCCTGTGTGGATTGACAAATTGCATTCCCTGGATTAATGATCGCCTAAATGGCATTTAATTAATTGATCTGCTGACCCCTCTCACCCTGTGTTGAAACTGTAAATTGCCGGTAAATTATATATAATTATATTCGCATTTTTTATCTACTCGGCCAGAGGATGGGGGTATGCGGCTAAAATTGGATGATCTACATTCACAGCGGGAATTAATTTATGCAATCAATTAATAAGTCATTAATTGTCTTTTGTGTTTTTAAATATTTAACGATTTAAATGTAACAAATGGTGACTAGCGTTTGTCGATTAAAGGTTGTTAGAAAATGAGGTGGTAATATAGTGATATATATATAGTGGTTTTCAACCTATAATAATAAGAATTTATTGATAACGATTCAGGAGAAACCATGATTTTGTTATTGATGGATTTTCAGATAAAATTTTTAGTTGCTTATTTTTTGTGTACCAAATTTTCGGTAAGTATCTGTACCTTCAAGTCCAAGCTATCAAAAATACGTAAATTCCCCGAACTATCCAAAGGTTTTCTGTCAGGTTGATTTCAGAGTTCGCTCGTAAGCAACCAAGTCAATATTATTATATAGTTCTCTATTCCGGCTATTGATCCAGCCGCAACACTTAGTCAGCGTATCGAGTTCCTTAAATATCATGGCCGGGATTTTCTGTGAAGTTCACACAAGCGACCAGATAAAAAGCTAGAGGAACGGAACGGGGAAAATATTTATGTCAAATGTGTAATTCCCAAATCACTTAATACTCATCAACTAATGAGGCCTAAAAGCTTCGAGCGACGACGGATGTGTTGGACAATAACAACTTCAACTAATATCCATATATCTCTCGGCTTTGTGTGCTTGTGCTTTTTGGGCTCCGTGCGGCGGTTTCTCTATCTCATTTATTTATTTTGAAATTGTTGCGAGTACGTATTTCATTTTTTGTGTTCCCGTCCCCCCATTTCTTCCTCCCCCTCCGGCTAACGTCTTTTTTTCGGCTAAAACACAAAATGCAGGAAATGGACGTGTTGACAAATAAACGATGTTCCCCTGTCCAATATTTGCCAATATGTGTATCCATGAATTAAACACAAATTTCACTTACAGGTATGTACGTTGTTAGAAAATCAAATAGGGCTTAGAGCTTAGGGGGGAAAATGGAAAGTTTATAATGACAAATTCGTGCAAAATGTGACATTTTCACGTTTGATTTTAATGGTATATTCCTGGAAACAGGTATTTCTAAGGTGGATTCCTGCATTACTTAAAATTAAATATTTGCCTTTGAATGGCTAAATATTCGTGATAAATGCATTTGACGCTTTTGGCCCAACTCCCCTTAGATCGCACCCATCTCCTTGCCAAGCATTTTGCCCCACGAATTTGACGTCGTCTCATTAGTCACATTTAAAATTGTATTTAATTACTTTCTCACTTCACCATCAGTCAAGTCGGTGGGTCGGACGACGCCTCGTCATTGGCGTTTCTCTTCTTCTTCTGGGCGGATGCCAGGGGGTGTTCTTGGTAGGGTAGCCTACCCTACAGATACTCAGATACAGATACAGATATATATGTACAGATACATGCCGCAGCGTTCGACGCTTGTTTGTTTAGCAGACAAGTCGGGGAAAATTGATATACTTTGGTGCACGCAGAAAAAATAAAAGAATTAACGTTTTAAATAGCTTTAAAAAACAATATTTTTAAAATAAACGATCCAAAGTGTATGCTTTTGTGTAATGTTATCTAGTTTTATATAATTTTATAGATCCTAACATAATTATTTTACAACAATGAAGAAACTTATATATCAACCGAAATGCCTACTATTTTCTCTCTGTGTTGGTATCGACTTCCGCAGCTCTTTCTTTCACTTCTGCCGCTGCCGACGTCGCTGCCTTTCATCAATTTCAAATTAGTGAAAATCGAGAAACGGAAATTATTTACTATCTGGATGGGTGGGTGGATGTGGATGTGACTGTCTGTTGGATGGGTGGCAGCAACAATCTATCCATCCATCTATCTACCGCCTTGGCCATTACAAGTGCAATTTATCTCGCAAATCATTAATCAAACCTACCGTTTGTTTTTCCCTCCCACTCCCCAACCCTCGCCCCCTCCTCCCAACTACCTATTTACCAATTGTTTTCCGCCTGTTTTTGTGTATTTATCAGAGAAAAATTTGGAAAGGCACGAACTACATTTGGCCCCTCCCATTCGATTGGGAAAATCAACAGAAATCACATACGGCGATTCGGCAAATAAAAAGGGCGGCGCTATTCAATTGAACCGCGTATAAAACATGATTGAAAGATACGCGAATGGGCCAATACAAGTGCTCAAAAGTAAACACTAACCTACACAAAATTTGTGATTAAAATTGCGTTAAATAACTTATTTTATTTCTATCAGTTATATTTAATTTATTCTACAAAAATAAAAATATATTTTGTAGTCCTTTAGATATTAGGCCAATATGTCTTATTAGTTATTATATTTGTAGTTTTTCTTATCATTCAAATATTTATAGTTTTTGGTATGCGATATTTAAAAAAAGTATGGATATTAATTCAGTGAAATGATGAAAAGAAAGAGGAAAATGATGGTCGTAATATAGACCTGTTAATAACCTTGTAAAGCAGTGTATCCATGTTTTCTCTCCGCACTCTACGGATACAGATACACGAGCACACCTTTGCCTCAGGTGAGCGCCTGTGTGTGTGTATCGAAACGAGCGAATAAGAAGGCGGCGTATTGCGGACACTCTCACACACACACGAATCGGGCATTGCATAGATTGCGATTACAATTTTAATTTAATTGACCACCCCCCGCCACCTCCATTCCAATTGGGAATCGGTGGAACGGCTATCCGATTGGCTGATGGCTGAGCGATTGGAGAGAGAGAACGAGTTCGGGGAACGAGTGGAGAGCGAAACAGGGCGCACAGCCACCCCACCCCCACCGCCTTAGTTTCATCGTTCCGCAAGAGGAACAAGTGAGAAAGAGAGAACGCCTGAGAGGGACTTCAATGCTCATACCCTTTATGAGGGTATTACCGGTTTTCAGGTTCATAATTTATTCATAATATTAAATGCTATTAATGGGAGATTCAACATAATATTACTTTTTGTGATCTATGAAAAGTTCAATAACCTTTATGGTAAAACAAGTTATAACGTTTTAGGCATGTATTTAATTAAATAGATAACTTTTAATAAACTACTTCATCCGAATTTAATCGATTTTATTAGGATGATTAAGTTATATTTATATGACAATTGAGGTAATTTAGAAATCAATAAATTGACCATAAGACGCGAGAAACGTGTCGTATGAGTAATTTGTTAGGAAATGGTAATACCCTAATGAACATATAAAGAAAACTATAAAATTTATGATAAAAGGGTATTATTTTGTTAACAAGTAGTCGAAATACCCATTTCTCGATATCGATGAGGTGAGAGCTATCGTGACTAAAACAGGGGTCGGCAAAGGGGGTCGTTTCATTCCGTTCCATTCCCAATTGGATGGCTCTCTCGGCAGAGGTTGGCAGAGCAGAGCTGCGCTGCTGAAGTATATAGTTTCTTGTTCGCGATTCAGATCGATTTGGACTTCGGAGTAGACGAGACCGAGACTCTATGCCCAATTGGAGTTCCGTGAGCGTCGATCGTGCGGTCGGATAACGGCTTTTCAAATGGACACATAATAATTTCTAATTAAATAACATCAGCCAAGTGGATTAATAACAATCGTGTTCTGTGTGTGTGTGAATGTGGGGAGTAAAGACTCTTGATTTAAGATTGAAGTGAGAAGCATAGAAACCCTGAGATAAAGCGAATCGCATTAAACAACCGCAAATAATTGCAAATTTGCAGGCAAACAAACAGAAAGGCATAAAATCCAAGTGAACGGTTCTTAAGCGCACTCTCCTTTTTGCCAACAATCCAACAAGAATACAGAATAAAGAATTAAGTGTGAAGGGGAACGACGATCATAAGATCATAACGGTTCGCAAACCCAAATGCAGGCCGCAAAATCAATGCCGTATGGAAGCTAAAAACACAACAAAAGTGAGCTGTGCTAATATTTTAAATAACTAAGGAATTATATCGCGGGTGAATATCGATCCCAAGATCGCCCATCAACAGGGAATATTTGCTATATTTGTAATATTCGTAATATTCGTGACATTCGAGAAGAGCAAACCACTCCGCTTCAATGCAACTGCGAGTGCACCCTACTATGGACTGTAGCGGTCGTTCAACCAGCAATATTGAACGCGATTCCGATCTGGGGGACGATTTGGTAAGAAGAACTACACATACCATCTTTTGATTATAAGAAATAAATAGTAAGGTTCGTGTGTTTCTAATTATAATTATAATTCTAATATTGAGTACTGTGGTCCTAAAATATCAGCTACCTATATCTTTAGCAAAATATCAGATCAATGTTTCCCTTTGGCTATCACGATGCATCAAATTAAACTACCTCAACCAAAGTTCACTTGACATGGTGATCAAAAAATACAGCAATTATCGCAATGTTTGAACATAAATTCAAGTCGTAAATTTAATTGGCATAATTGGTATTTAATAAAAGTTTAATACTCGACAAGTTTAAGGATAAATGAATTATTTATTACCGAATCATTAAATGCTGATATTATATGGTGATAAATATAAATAAATTAAAAATAAATTTAAAAGTTATTTTGAAATTTGTCTGCTATCATTGCTTACAACCATTATCTTCTAATGGAAAAACCTACATATTTTCCTATTATTTTTCTTAGACCTGTTCCAAAGTGTGTATTTCACCAAATGAAATTTGTCAGGCATCAAAATTAAAAATGTATCCAACCTTTCATCTATCCGTTATATATAGAATTTGATTTGTTTTCCACTCGACCATGCGGTAATTTGAGTAACTAATGCATCAATATCCATTTGCCACGCGAAAAATATTATTTAATCTTGTAGGTGAATGGAAAAAGTGTGACAACTGATGAGGAAAAGATCCCCGAACAGATGCGACAAATCGAGCTAAAAGTAAACCATAATACTCAAAAAATTCATACTGATTTGCCGACGGCACGTGGAAGATATTGCTTCCACCAAAAAACCAACAACTTTTTATGCCATCATGATCTCTTGTTTGGGTAGCAACTTATACTTGAGTTTTTGTTTTATTTTTTCTGCTCGAAGCCAAAAGCAATTCCTGCAATTCGACTCACATTGTTTGCAGATGATTCAAAACGTAATTATAATGTTAAAAAAACACATATATGTTGATTCAATCGAGGCAGGGAGAAAGGCAATACGAAATGGGGGGAGATGATATTTTGGCGTTTCTGTTTGCCGGAGAGCCGTTAAAAGGTGACATGCTAAATGGTCGCATACAAGACGGTTATTATACCGACACACTCACATACATACTCACACGTTGATCGAGCTAAGTGCATAACATACTCATAAATACAAATAGATTCATCTGTTTCGGGGACCGCGATCCCAAGATCCCCACAATTTCCACCGATTGAAAGATCTCTTTCAATTCAAGCTCTTTGATGGCGTTCATATGTAAATAAATTGTTCAAATATTTGCATTATTTGTTAGTACCTTAAATGAATATTAAATGGGTTTTATTGCCTTTCAGGCCTTTCGGCCATTCGCTTTCAGGTATTCATATGTGGGCATGCAGCTTCATCGCATCTTCTTCAATTCAATAAAACTCTTGTTAGTTTTTTTTCAGCCCCTTTGTTTTTCTTTCATTTTTATTATTGTTAATAGACATTGCCGGCTCGATCAACAATGAGCCAGACTTTATACACTCACTGCCGGCCGGCTATTTACATAATTTTTAATAGCCTCGCTTTTGGCCAAGAAGACGGCCCGAGATGGGCTGTGCAAACAGTCGTCTGAATCTCGGATCTCGGATCTCGAATCTCAGATCCATTCGTCATCTCACTGATCAAACCTTGATGTGTTCCCTTCTTGGCTGGTGTTAATTGAAGGGTTTCTCAATTATACGTCCGCATGTGGGTGCTGTTTAATTAACCCCACTGCGAGGCGAAGCGGAGCCAACATGCTGGTGTCATTCGCACATCCGATCCGTATTTCTATTCAAATCAAATCCTGCGGCCACTCGCTCGGATTTTCGACTCAAAAGTCACGATTAAACAATAATGTGGGCTGTCAAAAAGTCATAAATTCTCGAATGAAACCAAGTCGCCGAGACCAAGTCGTGCCCAACGGTCCATGCCCAATGGCCGATGCCCGATGCCCAGCATCGTCATCCGAGCAGCACTTTAATTACTTGGGTTAAACGCAGAGTTTAAAATTATTGCCGAATTGCTGTCTGTAATTTTTGAATCGTTTTTAAATTAAATCAAGCCTGCGAACATGACTTGGGACAATTGAAAATCGCTCGCTGGCATTCGATTCTTGAATCTTCGCAGGGGGATTCTGTGCATTTTCTGACCACTGCACGTGCTCCGGGCAGAGTTCCCACATTAAATCACATGGCTCTCGCCTTTGGGTTGGGGAAACCCCCCGAAATCTCAGTGGTTGTTAACGGCTTGACTGCTGTTTGGTGGTGGTGTTTGCACTGATTCACACTTTGGCTGGATTTTGGGCAGCATTTTCCATATTTATTTATGACCATTTTTATGTGCTATCCCGAAAGTTGGGAAAAGTTATTAATTTAATTATGGGACTTTGAATGAAATTTAATTTAATTTGACTTGGATTCTATTTGTTTTTAAAAATGTTGTTTTTTCAATTTAAAACAATTACTATCAAATTAAATTAATATTTACATTCTGAGTAACTTTTTTATAAATTAACAGTATTGAATAGGTTCAAATAATAATCATATTAATTTTTTGTTCTTCAGTTTTCGGCTTACGAAATCGTTTACCTGGTTCTGAACAGGTTAACCGTTTCACACTTGGTTGATTGGAAAACGAGCCGAGTAGCCCAATACTCACACTCCCTTCGGACCCCCCTTTCGAAGCCCCCTCCCCTGCGCCACTGGCCGAAGAAATCATTTGGGTCGGACGGGCAGCGGCACCTGTTATAATTTGTTTGGCTTCTTGTACGCTGACAGGCAACGATTTTTATTAAATTCTTTCTGGGGGCTCTTTCCGCTCTTCTCCTTGCATAACCATATAGCAGGGGAAATATTTGATTAAGTATCTAGTGGGGCCCTTTGGGGGATGACATGTCCCTGACTCTTTCCCCTCCCATTTATTTATTCTTTCTGGTGGCGCTTTCAACCGCAATGACAAACGAAATTTGTTTTGCTTTTAGTTTCTTCTCGGGGCGCGAACTTGAAACTGGGCAAAAGGGGGGATTTGTCGCGTCACTCGAATATATGTAAATATATTTAAAACAAGAAAGGAAGCTAGCTTCGGCCAGCCGAAGCTTAAATACCCTTGCAGATCATTCCTATTAATTAACAAATCGCAAAAATGTTCAATTAATTTCATTAATTTTCCGATCGTTCCTATGGCAGCTATATGATATAGTCGTCCGATTTTGATCAAATTAAAATTGAAATTCGGATATATTTAAAAAGAGTCATATCCTAGAGTAGAAGATAATACAATAAAAACCATAGAAGATAGAATTTATTTCCTATTACTTTTCCATTAATTTTCCGATTGTTCCTATGGCAGCTATATGATATATTAGTCCGATTTTTTAAATATTTAATTCGAAATTCAGAAATTAAAAAATTTAAAAAATAACATCCCCAAAAGTAGAAGGTAATATTTCAAAAAACACCGAAGCTAGAATTTTTTTAACGTTTTTTTTTCCGATCCTTCCTATGGGAGCTATAAGATATAGTTGTCCGATCCGGTCGGTTCCGACATATATACTACCTGCAATAGAAAGAAGACTTTTGGGAAAGTTTCATCCCGATAGCTCAAAAACTGAGAGACTAGTTTGCGTAGAAACAGACAGACGGACAGACGGACAGACGGACAGACGGTCAGACGGACAGACGGACAGACGGACATGGCTAGATCGAATCGTCTAGTGATGCTGATCAAGAATATATATACTTTATGGGGTCGGAAACGTCTCCTTCACTGCGTTGCAAACTTCTGACTGAAATCATAATACCCTCTGCAAGGGTATAAAAATGTAATATTACAAATGCAGTTTACGGCACACAAAAATGCATGGCGACAAATGTCAGAAAAACAAAAATAAAAAAAACCAAAAATATTAAAACAGCGCAATAACAGCAGAAAGAGCTCGTAAAAAATATGATTATTATTGGTACTATTACAGTTCGCGCTTTTCGTATTGTTTTTAATGAATTTATGAATTATTTTGCCAACCATAGCTAATAAAACTGTTAATTGGATTTTCCAGTACAGCTGCCGATTGCGAAAAAGCGGCAAGAAAAGCGAATTGCGAATCGCAAAGCAAAATGTGAATTTGCGAGGGCACGAATCGCGATGGGGTGGTGGCTTAGGGGAGGGGGGTGTGTGTGGTGGAGTGGATAAAAAGTGTATTTATCATCGCGCTAATAAAACGTCTGCCCTCTCTTTCTTATTCCATATATCGCTCTCCCTCTTGCAAAATACAAACAAAAATGGGCGTGCCAAATGGCCAAGGAGAAATTCGCGCCAGCTTCAACAAATTGAATAACCAAGCGGGCAAACAAAAATTTTAATTTACTACTAAAAACATCCTTGTTTAATGTTTGGCTGTTTTCCTCACTTCACACCTGAACACCCCTGGAATTTGTGTATATATTTTGTATAACGAAGCCAAACAAATTGCAACTGAAATCAATACGTAATTATTATCGATTCTTAAACGAAGTCTTTTTTGTGAAATATCAGAAAATTAAATCATACAAATTGGCTGTTGGTTGAAGTCAAAACAAAAAGCAATTAGTGTTGCTGAAAAATATTGGCTTCTTTGCTTAGGTCAAAAGCATTGTGATATAATACTACCGAAGATTTATTTGTGCCATAAAGGTATGTTTACTGTAGATATCTTTATAAATTTTTTTTATTTATTTTCCCAGTGAAAAGCTAAGATAACAGGCTATTACATTCAACGCTTATATAAACAGAAATTACTTAGTAATATTTTTTTTATTAATCTTCAAAATGCGACAGGGCATTTTTGTTTTTATATGATTCAGATTCCAAAACATTTACTTTACAAAGATTCTATAAAAACTAAATAGTTGTAACAAAACTTTTTAGCACTAAAATCTTTTTAATGGCGGTTTTGGTACCTTTCTTCGTAATGAGAAGTGAGACTAAACTCGAGGT